TGCCTTCTGAGGGTCTAAGCCTATCAGAAGTAGATCCTCCAGATAATGGAACCAGGTGGAGTTCTGGACTCTCAATAACATTATAAGCACATAGAAAGATTCTTGGGGCCGCATTAAGGCCAAATGGTAGGGCACTAACATGGAAGTTCTCTTCTGAGCTAATGCCGAAGATCTCTGCAGATTGGACTGAAAGTAAACATCCTTGAGATATATAGAGGTAAGGAAATTATCCTTCCAGATTGCTTGAGATATGGACCTGATTGACTCCATCCCAAAGACACTAACATTCAGCCTCTTGTTGGCCCCTCTTAGGTCCAGTGTAGGCTTTCATGTGCTTTTCCTCTTAGCACCAGAAGAGAGACAAAACTTGTCCCTGGAACTGCTCTTGTTCTGGGACCTAAAAAAAAAAAAAAATCACCTCTTCGTCCAGAAGGCTTCTTCCTTCAGTGCTTTACCTTTGGATTCATTGGTCTTAATACCGTTGGTATGGAGACTCCTGTGCCCGTTAAGAAAAAACTCCAGTCTATATCAATCTGGACCATGGATACCACTCAAGCCTCCACAGTAGTGATGTACCGAACGGTTCGCCAGCGAACGGTTCCCGGCGAACATAGCATGTTCGCGTTCGCCACGGCGGGCGAATATATGCGCGGTTCAACCCGCCCCCTATTCGTCATCATTGAGTAAACTTTGACCCTGTACCTCACAGTCAGCAGACACATTCCAGCCAATTAGCAGCACACTCTCCCTAGCAGACCCTCCCACCTCCTGGAAGGCATCCATTTTAGATTCATTCTCAAGCTGCATGCTTAGTAAGAGGAGGGAAAGTGTAGCTGCTGTTCATTAGATAGGGAAAAGCATAGCTAGGTTAGGGTTAGGGTATGCTTTTTTTTGATATTTTTTTTCTATGTAATGTAATTGCACTTAGTTGTCTGCCACTGCTGCCAGCTTCTGTGTCAGGCTCACAGTGCATACTGTGCCCATTTCCCCAGTCAGTGCCACCAATTACATCTGGTGTCACAATAGCTTGGATTTAAAAACAAAAAACTTTTTTTACTGTTATAGATTGAATAGCAGTCAGTGTCCTTAAAGCCGGTGTGTTACGCTAACAGTGGATACGGTGACCAGTGCCACCACTTAGATCTGGTGACACAATAGCTTGGATTTAAAAACAAAAAACTTTTTTCACTGTTATAGATTGAATAGCAGTTAGTTATCTTCAAGCGGGTGTCAGGCTTACAGCCTGTGCTCTGCACAACTGTGCCAGTGCACATTGCCACTCATATCTGGTCTCACAGTAGCTTGCACGCATAGTACCACTAATTCCAACAAAAATGACAGGCAGAGGCAGGCCACCCCGCAGGGGCCATCGTGGTTGTGGTGCTGTGATTCCCTTTGGCCCTAGAATAATGCCCAGTTTTCAGAGGCCACGTACCCTGAACTTGAAAAGTTCTGAGGACATAGTTGACTGGCTAACACAGGACACCCACCTTCTGCCAGCCTCCGGGCCAGAACCTGATCACACTATCCTCTATAGCTTATAGCTTCAGGCACCTCTCAAGTAAGATACCACTCACCTCGCCTGCCGCCAATACTCACCAAAACTAGCACCACAGCCGCTTCAGTTGGTATGTCAGAGGAGTTATTCGCACATCCGTTTGAAGAAATGAGTGATGCGCAACCATTATTGCCAGAGGATGTAGATAACAGGGATATGTCTCAGGCAGGCAGCATTACACACATGGACGTACGGTGTGATGATGATGATGACGTTGTACCCGCTGCTGCTTCCTTTGCTGAGTTGTCAGATACAAGTGAAGCGGTTGATGATGACGATGCGTCCATGGATGTCACGGTGTGCCCGCTCGCAAGAAGAAGAACAGGTGAAAGTTCAGATGGGGAGACAGAGAGGAGGAGGAGACGAGTTGGAAGCAGCGGGAGGTCGTCGCAAGGAGCTAGTGGCACAGTCAGACAGTATGCATCGGCACCCGGGGTCAGCAAGACAGCATGCCAATCAACGCATGCTGTTGCCACCACCAGAATGCCGTCATTGCAGAGCTCAGCAGTGTGGCATTTTTTTTGTGTGTCTGCCTCTGACAACAGCTATGCCATTTGCAACCTGTGCCAAAAGAAACTGAGTCGTGGGAAGTCCAACACCCACCTAGGTACAACTGCTTTGCGTAGGCACATGATCTCACATCACAGACGCCTATGGGATCAACACATGAGTACAAGCAGCTCGCTTACTCTAAGCCGCCAGCCTCCTCCTGGTCCAGCATCTTCAGCCACGTCAACCACTGCTGTCCTCCTTGTCCCCTCTCAACCATCCGGGCCACCAGCCCCGCTTCTTGGAGCAAGTGCAGCAGTTCACGCCATCTTCCCACAGTCATGTCTGTCGTGGCGACAAGTTTGAGCCAAGAAGACAATGTCAGAAAGTCACCCCCTTGCCCAGCGTCTGACCGCTGGCTTGTCCGAACTATTAGCCCGCCAGCTTTTACTATACAAGCTGGTGGAGTCTGAGGCGTTCAAAAAATTTGTAGCTATTGGGACACCGCAGTGGAAGGTACCCGGCCGAAATTTCTTTTCACAAAAGGCAATCCCCAACCTGTACTCAATTGTGAAAAAGGAAGTAATAGCATCTCTGGCACACAGTGTTGGGGCAAGGGTCCATCCGACCACTGATACCTGGTCTGCAAAGCATGGTCAGGGCAGGTATATCACCTACACTGCGCATTGGGTAAACCTGCTGACGGCTGCCAAGCATGGAATGCGTGGCTCTGCAGAGGAGTTGGTGACACCGCCATGACTTTCAGGCAGGCCTGCTGCCACCTCCTCTACTCCTCCTACTCCATCCTCTTCCATAACCTCCTCGGCTGAGTCCTCTTCTGCTGCTGCTGCGTCTTGCTCCACATCAATCTAGATAGGGCGCAGAATAGTGATTAAACTTGATAACAATAGTACTAAACACACCACTCACTCAATTGGTGTCACAATAGCTTTGACTTAAAACAAAAAAATTTTTTTTCACGGTTATAGATTGAATAGCAGTTAGTTATCTTCAACGCACCCCCAGCTCCCCAGGTACTATTCCATATTATCCCGATACGGCAAAGTGCGTCACGCTACCATTTGACTTGCCTGAAAGCAGAAAGTCACACCGGACCAGCACTCCTGTCCGCCCTGAACGCACAGGTGGATCAGTGGCTGACTCCGCACCAACTGGAGATCGGCAAAGTGGTTTGTGACAACGGAAGAAATTTGTTGGCGGCATTGCATTTGGGCAAGTTGACACATGTGCCGTGTATGGCACATATGTGTAATCTGATCGTCCAATTCTTTGTGCATAAGTACCCAGGCTTACAGGAAGTCTGAAGAAGGCCAGGAAGGTGTGTGGCCATTTCAGGCGTTCCTACATGGCCATGGTGCACTTTTCAGTTATCCAGCGGCGAAAAAACATGCCAGTGAGGCGCTTGATTTGTGACAGCCCGACATGTTGGAATTCAACACTCCTAATGTTCGAACGCCTGCTCCACCGCTAAGAAAAAGCCGCTAATGAATATCATTTGTATGGACTGCAAGCAGTGGACAGCCTCTGGGAGCTGGGAATTTTTTTGCCACGTTACTGGACGCTCATGCGCAATGCCTGTAGGCTCATGCGTCCTTTTGAGGAGGTGACAAATTTAGTCAGTCGCTGCGAAGGCACCATCAGCGACATCATACCATTTGTTTTCTTCCTGGAGCGTGCCCTGCGAAGAGTGCTGGATCAGGCCGTAGATGAGCGTGAAGAGGAAGAGTTATGGTCACCGTCACCTCCAGAAACAGCCTTATCAGCATCGCTTGCTGCACCTGCGGCAACGCTGGAAGAGGAGTCAGAGGAGGAATGTGGCTTTGAGGAGGAGGAAGAGGAGGAGCAAGACCAACCACAACAGGCATCCCAGGGTGCTCGTTGTCACCTATCTGGTACCTGTTGTGTTGTACGTGGCTGGGGGTAAGAAAATACCTTCATTGACATCAGTGAGGAGGAGGAACGGGAAATGAGTAGCTCGGCATCCAACCTTGTGCAAATGGGGTCTTTCATGCTGTCGTGCCTGTTGAGTGACCCTCGTATAAAAAGGCTGAAGGAGAACGACCTGTACTGGGTGTCCACGCTACTAGACCCCAGGTATAAGCAGAAAGTGGCGGAAATGTTACAGAATTACAACAAGTATGAAAGGATGCAGCATTTGCAAAATAAATTGAAAAGTATGCTTTACACAGCGTATAAGGGTGATGTCACAGCACAATGGGAATCTAACAGGGGGAGAGGTGGAAGTCATCCTCCTCCTCCCATGACCACGCCGGCAAGGACAGGACGCTTTAGAGACGTGTTGTTGATGGAGGACATGCGGACCTTTTTAAGTCCTACGCATCGCCACAGCCCTTCGGGATCCACCCTCAGAGAGCGACTCGACCGACAGGTAGCAGACTACCTCACCTTAACTGCAGATATCGACACTCTGAGGAGCGATGAACCCCTTGACTACTGGGTGTGCAGGCTTGACCTGTGGCCTGAGCTATCCCAATTTGCGATAGAACTTCTGGCCTGCCCCGCTTCAAGTGTCCTGTCAGAAAGGACCTTCAGTGCAGCAGGAGGTATTGTCACTGAGAAGAGAAGTCGCCTAGGTCAAAAAAGTCTAGATTACCTCACCTTTATTAAGATGAATGAGGGATGGATCCCGAAGGGACTGACACTGGGCGATACATTAGATTAAAAAAGGCCTGATGAGATGAGCTGCCTTGGGCTAAAAATGGTCCACACGCTGCTGTATTTTAACTCTGAATGCCGGTTGACTTGCGTGACTTATCCGCCACCAACTAGGGTTCAAGCCGCCATGTTTTAGGGCACTTTCTGCCTGTGAAACAAACATCAATTATAGATTTAATAGCAGTTAGTTATCTTCAAGCAGGTGTGTCAGCCCTACAGCGTGTACTCTGCCAGTACGCTGCCACCTCCTCTACTCCTCCTACTCCATCCTCTTCCATAACCTCCTCGGCTTAGTCCTCTTCTGCTGCTGCGTCTTGCTCCACATCAACGGATAGGGGGCGTAACAGTGATTAAACTGATAACAATAGTACTAAACACACCACTCCTATCTGGTGGCACATTAGATTGCACGCGCAGTGCCCCAAATTTGTTGTGATCTGTGAGTAAGGTAAACGGTTGTCCATACAAGTAGGTTGCAGCTTTTTGAGGGCCCACACCACCGCTATGCACTCCTTTTCAATGGCAGTGAATATACTTCGCTGTGCAAAAGTTTACGGCTTAGATAAGCCCGGGTTGCTCGCCACCATCTGCTCCGACTTGGCTCAGTACTGCTCCCAATCCAAGCATAGAAGCGTCTGTATGGACGAGAAAGTGTTTAGTTGGATCAGGAGAAGAAAGTACAGGTGATTTAATGAGCGCCGTCTTGAGCTGTTGGAAGGCCTGTTCACACTCTGGGGCCATACTACTATCTTGGGGAGGTTTTTACACGTTCCTATATGGCACTTACTGGGCTTTAGGGTCAGTCCGGACTCCCTAATCCGGTCTATTACGGCTCCTATGTGGGTCAGGTGTTCGGGCCAGGAGCAGCTAAAAATGTCTATACCATCCAAGTAGGTGTGTATCAGTGTGTATCAGGGATCCTTAGGACAGGTGTCAATCCATATCTGCCAAGTGACCCTATGTAGGGGGACCAGTCTCTATTCTGCTCTGTGTCCGTGTGCATCAGGGGCTCTGAGGACAGGTGTCAATCCATATGTCAAGGTGTCAATATGTCATATGTCAGGTGTCAATCCATATTGATTGTGATTTAGGAATGTTAGGTGATTTCTGCCCTTTATGGATTAAAACCAGACTCTGTATCAACTGTGTAATTTTCCATGGGAGTTTTGCCATGGATCCCCCTCCGGCATGCCACAGTCCAGGTGTTAGTCCCCTTGAAACAACTTTTCCATCCCTATTGTGGCCAGAAAGAGTCCCTGTGTGTTTTAAAATTTGCATGCCCATTGAAGTCAATGGCGGTTCGCGAACATTTGCGGAAGTTCGCGTTCGACGTTCGCGAACCGAAAATTTCGGGTTCGCGACATCACTACTCCACAGTATGACGAGCCCAGGTATGTGTGATCAGAAAAATTAGGCTCCTAGTACTGGAGGAGATATTTTCATTGCTGAAGAGCAAAACAACTGCGTTCTAGCTCCATTAGAACCTTGAAAGGCAGGTTTACCAACTGCCATGAGTTACCTCTGGAGTATTCCCTGCAGGGCCAGTAGCTCCCTGTATCTCAGAAATACTGGTCACTGGAGGTTCTCCGGTCAGACTATGAGGAGCTGGGATCCTTGGAACTTCCATCCTAAGGTACCAATATCTTGCAGCCCTCATTTGCCTTTTCAATGGAATTATCCAAAGTTTTCCCAAACAGCACCACCCCTTCAAATAGAATGGAGTAGAGGGCAGACTTGGAGGATGAGTCATTATCCCAGAAACAGAACCATAATGCTTTCTTAGCTGCTATAGATAAAGCCATTTGATCCAGAGGATATCCTAGTTACATCTAGGGAAGTTTCTGTGAAGAAGTCACTTGTAACCTGAAGACTTCAGACTGCCTCTTCAATCTTGGCTTTTAATATCTCGCTCCATAGTAGCCTTTAGATCTTTAATCACACATTTCATGTTTGTAGAAACAACAGCGGAAATCACAGCTGGCTGGCCTCCTGTAATGGTAGGCGTAAAATTTTGGACAGGTCTGCGTCCACCTATGATCCATAAATGTGCAACTTAGGTGGTGTAGTTCTGGGGTTGGAAAACACTTCCTCCACAGGTTAAAGCCTGGCCTCTTTTCTTACCCCTAAGGCCTCTGGAACTTACTTTGTAAGCCCTGCCCGCATGTCATGTGGCTGCACAGTGATAGGTCATGCTGAAGCGACAACCTTCTGGAGGAAGTCAGTACATAACCGATTCCATCCACTTTCTCCTCATAACCAGATCCTGGTGAAGAATCAGACACCTGACAAATAATAATAACTAAATATTACCTGTGGTAAAGTATTAAGAAAAAATGTGCACTGTTAAATTCTATAAGAAACCAGCGAAACCGCTTTAAAACAGGCTAAAGACAGCACTTATCCATGTCTCGAGACCCTGCAAATACTTACCAAATTAGTGTGGTATGTTTACTGTAATTTTCCCTTTATTTTAGGCACTTTCTGGCAATTGCCCTTATCCAAGATGGCTGCCACAACTTGTATTCCCACAATGCAAGTCATCTGTATTAGGCCCAATAAGGCACAAACTGCACACATGTGGGCCTATTTCGAGTGTGTTTGCTGTTTAGAGACCAGGGAGAGGACTCTGTCTGAAGCCTACATGGCCCCTAAACACCCAGGGAACCGGGAATAAATCACTGGGACCAAGGGAAAGCAAAATAGATAACAAAAGTGCCTGCAAGAAAGTTTAAAAGGCAACCACGTGCAAACAGTCAAAGTTTAAAGGCACCACAGTCTAAAGGACTCAATGTATAAAAGGTAACAGTTTTCAAATCTAACGGTTTCCAAAATGTAACAGTTTTTAAAATATATGAGTCTTCAAATGCACTGCGGTTTCCAATGACTTGCAGTATTACATGCAACAGTATTAAATGCAAATTTAAATGAAACAGTTTTAAATGCAACAGAGCTTAAATGCTTCCTAGCAAAAGCACAATCGCATAATGTACCACAATCTTAAAAATAAGGTACAGCTGTACAATGCACTCGTTTAACCCCTTAAGGACACATGACATGTGTGACATGTCATGATTCCCTTTTATTCCAGAAGTTTGGTCCTTAAGGGGTTAAAGATATCAAAGCTCAAAATGCATACTGTACTACAGCAAATAAAGTAATGAAAATAAAACATACATGTCTGTAAGTAAAGGGAGCAAATTGCTCACGTCCTAAGGGCTGTAGGACAGGAAAAAGACTGAGGACCGTAGGGATGAAGCCTCCTTTTAAAACCTTGGTGGTTTTCCTGTCCTATCGGCTGTAGGGGAGGAGCTAACCCATGTGTATATGCTGCCATGATTAGCCAGGAAAAAAAAAATCTTTCTCTTTCTCTTTCTCTCCCCCCATGCAGTGTTATATTAATTTTTTTATTGTTTTTTCTATTGGTGAATAGTGATGTACCGAACGGTTCGCCAGCGAACGGTTCCCGGCGAACATAGCATGTTCGCGTTCGCCACAGCGGGCGAACATATGCGCGGTTCGACCCGCCCCCTATTCGTCATCATTGAGTAAACTTTGACCCTGTACCTCACAGTCAGCAGACACATTCTAGCCAATTAGCAGCACACCCTCCCTAGCAGACCCTCCCACCTCCTGGAAGGCATCCATTTTAGATTCATTCTCAAGCTGCATGCTTAGTAAGAGGAGGGAAAGTGTAGCTGCTGTTCATAAGATAGGGAAAAGCATAGCTAGGTTAGGGATAAGGGTATGCTTTTTTTTATTTTATTTTCTACAGGGAGTGCAGAATTATTAGGCAAATTAGTATTTTGACCACATATTCCTCTTTTCATATTTGTCTTACTCCAAGCTGTATAGGCTCGAAAGCCTACTACAATTAAAGCATATTATTAGGTGATGTGCATCTCTAATGAAGGGGTGTGGTCTAATGACATCAACACCCTATATCAGGTGCATAATTATTAGGCAACTTCCTTTCCTTTGGCAAAATGGGTCAAAAGAAGGACTTGACAGGCTCAGAAAAGTCAAAAATAGTGAGATATCTTGCAGAGGGATGCAGCACTCTTAAAATTGCAAAGCTTCTGAAGCGTGATCATCGAACAATCAAGCGTTTCATTCAAACTAGTCAACAGGGTCACAAGAAGCGTGTGGAAAAACCAAGGCGCAAAATAACTGCCCATGAACTGAGAAAAGTCAAGCGTGCAGCTGCCACGATGCCACTTGCCATCAGTTTGGCCATATTTCAGAGCTGCAACATCACTGGAGTGCCCAAAAGCACAAGGTGTG